CCATCGTGCTGAATCCCGGGTGTATTCATCAGGGTGACGTAACTGACCTGCCTTTTCATTTTCACCTGCCATCCTTTACTGGTGCCCCGTCAGTGTATACCGTTAGCGCAGTTGGGGTTACCATTCCATTTTCACCCATTAAAAAATATAGATTGCTGATCGAATATTAATATATCAGGAGTACATAAGCGTGTCGATATAAATTACTATGATTCATGCTCTCAGCTGCGTGCGACTGTCTGCTTCAATATGAATGCGAGGCGATCACAGACAATAGATGTTAAATGAAGTTATTAATTTGTTGATTGTGCTATATACAGGGTGTCTCAAAATAAACTCACTATTTGAATGTAGTGTTGGCCGCGTGGTCCCGGCATAGAATGGGCTACCCCTTCCTTTCCCGTGGGTGTCATAAGAGGCGACTATAGGCAGCAGCGTCTCTGTTAAAACTTTTCCAAAGCCTGATTGCAATTGCCAATCCGGCTGCCGAGCATTATTACTACTGGCAAACTCCCCCAAGGGGTAGGCTTATGTTCAGCAGTGGACAGTTAAAGGCTGATATGATGATGATGATGATGATTAGAATGTAGTATAGGAACAAAAGGCCGGCAGTAGCGTCATTTTGTGGAAATTTTCTTGCCATCTTTTTTGATTGGAGATCAGCGCAGCGTTTAAACTGATTTTAGAAGCTGATTATTTTTATGTGAATGATGGACACTCAGGTTATGGAATGAGCTCCCTGCCGAGGTTTTCCCAAGAGACTACAGCATGGGGTTCTTCAAAAGGGGGGTAAAGAGGTTTCTTCAGGGTCGGGCATAATACCTCTGGTATTGCAGGCGTTCATAGGCTACGGTAACCGCTTACCATCAGGTGTGCCGTATGCTTGTTTGCCACCTCAGTGGTATAAAAAAAATATGATATTGAAAAGACACCAAGTAATAAACTGATTCAGGACTGGGTGAAGAGATTTAAAGAAACCAGTTTAGCGCTATCATCACATTTATTGGGCCATCGACTTCAGTTAGCTGCAGAGATGCCCAAACCTCTCACATTCACACTTTTTCCTGTGAAATTATTCGTAGAATACAGTGCGCGATAATAGTCTATCAATCATGTCTAAATTAAAAGAAAAAAAAAAATAAGATTCTACAACATGTTCAAAGTAAAATCGGAGGCATGGATTCGAAAACGTTCGAGATCACTTTGAAAAATGTAAGAGCCGCGAGAGAGGATATTTAAATTAATTTTATACAGTTATTTTAAAAAAATAAATTTCTTGATATTCATATTTGAAAATTTGCTATACAACAACAAATTGTATAAAATATTGGTTTAATTTTATTAAATAAAGATGCCAGCAGTTATTTTCTGAGACAGCCTGTAGTAAGGCCACGTCACAATGACATGTAACAGCGTATGTACATACCTACTATAAACTCATGTTTACCGTATGCTAAAGACTCGATACAATAGACCATTGTTCACGACTAATCCAACCAGTATTAAAATTATTAGAATAACTTCATATAATTATAAATTCACGACTAAACTGTGTTGATTTAGATGCTCAGATTTAAGCCCAATGGTCCAGGGATTTTGGGATTAATTGAATTCATTAATAATAATTATTAAATAGAGGGTAGTTCGTTAACATTTACAAATTAATTTTGGTAAGGAGAAATGGATTGTTTGATTTTTGTAATGAGGTCTAAAAGCCCTATTGCTAGCAATATACCCTCTTAGGTCGATCTCCACGCGGTTCCCCCTTGAAACCATAATGATTGGAGAGGGAGACTTTGTACAAAAGACGTTTGCTTGCGTACCTCTGTCCTATTCTTGTTTCAACCGTGAAGCAGTTGTGTTTGCATAGCTGTGTTTCGGTTTGAATTTACAGGGTACAGAGGAATAACACCTAAGTCCTCAGGAATGGCAACGCATGGGGGGTATCATGGGCGAAACAGTATACTCTGTTATGTCCATGGTACTGCTCATGTCCGACGACGGTTACCACTTTCCATCAGGTGGGCCGTCAGCTTGTTTGCCATTCTAAGTTGTATAAAAAAAAGACTCCGAAAGATTTTCATTTGCAATCAAATAATTTTTCCTTGCAATAAAGTAGAATAACCATTTCATCAACGTAAGCAAAAGAACTTACGAAGCGCAGCGGAATCGAAAATAATTTAGATATCCGATGCAGTGAGCAAAGCGAGAGGAAATAACTTGTGGATGTTACGATATATCCTAAGACGGTCGACAAAATTACCTTTCTGCTGTTACTGCAATATGAATTCAAGGCAAAACATATGACACAAGTAGTCTCGACGGTCTGCTTTGACGAAACGAGGGTGCTTGTCCTACGAGAAAATTGAATGTCGGAAGAAAATATTTATCAGCTTGTTTTCCATTCTAAGTTGTATAAAAAAAAATTGCTAGCAATGGGACTGGTAGTCCGCATTACTAACAATCCCTTTCCCCCGAATTATTTCATTTATACCACAATATCTTTTTTTTTTTTTATGGATGATATTGGAATAGTAATTCCGCCTGTGCTATCGGTTTACACTAGCGGGGCACCAGTGAGAGATGATTGGCGAGGGTGAAAAGACTAAGAGTATTAAGCTGGACGCCACTGCTGAACATAGGTCCCTTCATATTGGGAGGCTTTGTCAGTAGTTACTATGCTTGGTAAGCGGATTGGCAGCCGCAGTTAGTCTTCGGTGATGTTTTAAGAGAGACGCTGCTACCCATTCCTCGACTATTAGATTCTCTTGCGAAACTTACGGGAAAGGAACGAGTGGTCCATTCTACACCGGGACCACACAGAAAACCTACCTATGTATTGAGTAAGAATTATGAAAGCAATTGTTTTAACTGTAGGTATGCACACTGCGGTGAAAGGTAACCGAGGTGGACGAGGTGGAACAATGTCTCCGCCAGTGGCAATATTGCTCAATAAATACGCTTATGTACGACTTGTACTACTGTAATTCATTTAATATATCATCAGGGGATGTAGCTCAGATGGTAGAGCGCTCGCTTAGCATGCGAGAAGTACGGGGATCGATACCCTGCACCTCCAAATCTCTTTTTATTACAGCTAAAGACAAGACAAGCAAAAATTCAATATGAAAAATTAATATTTATTGTAAAAATACAAAATGTTTCTCTACAAATAATGATATACACCGCGTTTCCAAATAGTGTTTGTTAAATACAAAATTTTTCACTGTGATTTGTGATTTCCAAAAAATCTAAATAATTTACAAAATTATATTGCTCATCACTATTCAAACGCGGGACGGGGTAATTTTTAGTGATGATACAAAATTGAAAGAAGGGTTAAAATGTATTCTCACGGTAACCAGGGCGACATGAATACACGAAAGTTTTAAAATTCTCTTCGCGCCCTGTCTGTGTTTTTCCCGTTTGAGGGCAAAGCAATAAACTGAGTTGTGGCTATTTTGTGTAGCGTGGCACACACACGATCAAAAAATATCTGTTACTTTTTTATGTATTTTTTTTTTCCTTTTTTTGTGTATATCTATCTGTGTTTGTTGCTATTTCAGTGCGGTAAGTAAAAAAAACTATCTACATACATATCTGTCACGCCTGTCTCCCATTACGATAGGCAGAAACAATGGAACACAATGGTTACGTCATGTCTTCCCTGTTTCCCCAAATGGCAAAAGAGGGCAAAAAACTACTTGTTACTTAATTGAAAAAAATATGAAATCGAATTTCATAATTTTTTTTTTAGTTTATTAAAAGAAGTATAAATTATTTATCAATATTTAATTACTATTAACTGAATTTCCATGTTAGTATAAAAAAGCACATATAGCTTTTTTATAAATGCAGTTAGTTTTTAACAAAAAAAAAGCGAAATATTTTTGCAGTTGCAAGTCATGACGTATAAAAGCTACGTGGAAAGCAGAAAAATGGGTGAAAGATATGCGTACTAGGCTAGCATAAGAATACACAATAGGTAAGCGGAGAATGACATACGTGGAAAAGACGTGTTCATTTATGCATTCCTAGCAATGTGTGGCAAGTTTAGTGGGCGGTTTTTTGTTATAAAACAGAAAAAGATGATTAAATTAAACTGATGATGATAACACTGAACACGACTTGATTCCTAAGATCAGATAAAAATCAATCAATCGGTCAAAACCTGTCACAACACAACACAGCGGATTACTAGCCAATCAATTAATTAGCTTCGTACATGCGCAGCTTTCAAAGGAGGAAATCTTATTACGCGATTTGACGCAAGTCAGAATTCACCGCAACGGACGGATGTTATTACGTTAGGAGACTCTTAAAAGGGCTCGGATAAAATACAGGAAAATGGCTGCGGGATTATGTTTCCACATTACGTGTATTTTTATCGCGACAAAAATCAAATATAGAACCTTTTAAACATAGACAAAACAATATTTACTATTAAACATTTTGTTTCAAAAACCGATTTTAATTTTGACAAAGTTAATATGAGACTACCATGAGAGTAAATTACTACTGACTTAAGAAAAAAAAATGTAAAATAAAAACACTTCAGAATTATCGAAGATGTCACCTAATATAAAAAAGGTATAACTATATAGTTTTCTCTGGTATTGCATAAAAACTATAGTACAAAGTTGCATTTAGTTTTTACAGTTTTATTTCTGAAGGTCGAACTTAAATTTTAGTGTATATTTTGTCTTAATACAATATTTAGTAGTTAGACACAATACAGTTTATGAGTGTTACAGAAAATTATAACTATGTACTTCAAAATCTAAGGATACGATATCGCGTGATAAAAAGCTAGTGTCGCGAACGCCTACACCTAGTAATCAACGGGACGAGGCGCGCAGTTAGACTAGCGCTCGCATTATAGTCACTCAAGACTAAAGGTCTCGGATGGTTCCGAAGTTAGTCGAGCTCCCTCGACCAAATTAACTGACAGTTATTAATTATATTAAAAGCTAGTATAATATAATAAAAAAACAGCATACCGGCGACGACGGTCTCCGCGCGCGGCAACCTCTGCAGCACGTGGTGTATGAGGCCCACGTCGGTGCACGCCTGCAGGTTGCGCACACTCTTGCGCAGGATCGCGATGAACACCGACCATATCTCCGCCTGCGACACACAAATGTACACCAACTTGGTCACTTCCTTATTCACATACCTGCTTTTTTCACATATTTAAAAGTGTATTATTAAGACAGTAGGTTGCATGATGAGAGATATGCGTTACGAGTAATAATTCATGCGCATTTAGTTAAATTGTTCTCTTTTTAAATATAAATAAAAAAATGACTCATTTCTAACACAATAATTACACGTTATGGACACCCGTTTGTATACAGGATTTTTTTTGATGGGTGAAAATGGTATGGCAACCCCGCCTGCGCTAACGTGATACGCTGGCGGAGAACCAGTGGTGATAGATGAGAATGAAAATAGGCCAGTTAGCCCATCATGATGAATTCATCAGGAATTAATCATGATAGTTTCCAGGGGGAACCAGGGGATTGCTAGCAATGGGATTCTCAGTCTCCATTACTAACAATCCCTTACCCCTGTATACAGGGTTGGCAGTAAATAAGTCTAGTTCTGTTACAACAGCACTAAATATGACTTTTGAGAAACGCCAAACCTAGTCAACATTAAGTTAACCGAACGTTATTGGTATAAGTCTCTGTAGGAAATAATTACGATATATGAGAATAATAAAACATAACCACAACCCAAATAATCACAAAACAGAGTAGCAAACCCAAAAAAGCATAAACCCACCAAAACAATGCGAGCGTATTAAAAGCATAATCCAGTGGAAGCGTTTGTTCAGGCGCACCGAGTGGAGAGCGCGCATCAAGGCAGAAATTTTCAATTTCAAAGCTCCGCGTTTAATAGAGCTTGCAGTGTACCGCAACGGGGCACGTGAAATATTTTTAATGAAATTCTTTTCTCTTTCGCACGGCCACTGCAGCAGTCGTAATTTTAATTTTACACGACAGTGTGCACCCGGCTTAATTTGCTCTAATTTATGCTAATGTAACAAATGTCGAGCTTGTAGGGACGCGGCGCCTTCGCGGCCGCGGAGGGCGGACAGCAACGGAGCAAGCCATCTTGGGCCTTAAGCTAAGTTTTGGATTATAACCAAGTGCTTAATAGATTTTTTAAAGACTTCCAATACAAGAAGTTCTCAATTCGCTTGTATTTTTTGTGCATATGTTACGTGATACCTTGGCCAATTTTCAAGAGATATGATTATTTTTTTGGTTAAAGAATGAAAATAAGAATATTAATTAAAAAAATTTAAGCCGGATCAACATATGTGACATGATGACTTCGTAAGGATCAATTTAGAAGAAAAAAGATGACAAGAAGAAGGGGAAATGTATCATATAGAGAGATCAAGAATATGATCTGACAAAGAGCCGAATGGAGAAGACTATAAAGAAAAAGTAGCCACGATAAGAGAAAATTTTTAAATTCAAAAATATTAAATATATAATATTTTTGTAATTGACAACTATTGATATACTGTTCGTTGCAAGCCACAATTTTCATTTTTTTTATAACACAGGAGACAAGCAAGCATGCGGCTCACCTGATGGTAAGTGATTACTGTTACTCGCAACATAGGTATTCGTACAGTTATCAAGGAAATTGTACGTTATCGGTTTTTTAAGAAAGAATGCGTGAAATATAATGAGAATGTAAACACACAAATTTACGTAAATTTCATATATCCAAATTATTTGTATGAAATGTATGTATATTGCAAAACATCGCGTTGGCCATCAGTGTATTTTATTTCTTACGATTCTAATAATCCTTTTTTATTCACTATCGATTATCGAACCGCATTCATTCTGTCTCAATATAAGTAGTTGTTTTTGCAGAATAAAATCTTATCTTTTATCTATTCGTAAATTAATAAAATATTTTATCAAGTGCTTCAGATATACGCGCTGATTAAACGGTTTAAATGGTATGATTGGATGTCGAATTTAAAGGACAATAGTTGTTAAGTCTCTAACAATATTGCTAGAACAAGATATCAAACTGCTGGTAGGGTATAGGTAGTACGGTACGGAGAAAAAAAATGAAACCCAAGTAACGAGGGCCATGTAATTACATTACATTGTTCTCCCGTTAACGGAACAATCTCGGTGAAATTACAGGTTCAGTGAATTCCCGCGATTCACTCACCGGCGCCGGAGGAATTTCAAATGAAACATTTTATATCTTCGCACGCGCTAGGTGCTTGTTTTTGTCGAGAAAGTGATTCAATTTTATTTTGCACGGCGCTGATGGTTAAGCTCTTTCTACCGACTCGGAAAGGAGACTCTCATTTCTACAATATTTCATTAAATTTGTTTTTGAGTGCGCGTCACACGATGTTTCGGTCAATTCAGAATTTAATAGACTTCACTCCCACATTGGTCTCGTAACTTTGGCAAGATTGAAGTAAAGGTGATTAGGATTCCGTGACGATATGGCATAAAGGGAATCTTATAATATGACTTAATCAATTTGTCGGCCTGTTTGACACAGCGGCATTTATTTATATTTGCAACTGTTTCGTAAAAAATGTGTTTTGCTCCAAAAAAGAAAACGCTGACTTCAATCGTAAAAATCTAATAATGACCAGCGATCTCACTATTCTTGTAAATTTGGAACTGGGTGAATTTGTAATAATATTGGAGTAAACCCCAAATAAAAACATCAACAAACACCCACCAGAACAAAATGATTTATCGAAATAAAAAAATATAGGTTTAGAAACTTCACCTTTCGGAAGTCGCTGTAAACATATATTGGACCTAGCTGAACCCTATCTTACGCTTCGCTCTGTTGGCAACAGAATTATTTGAATACCACCAGTAGCAAAAAGTTGCAGAAGTTTTCTCATTAATCTACCCACGACCGGACCGTAATAAAACGTGGAAAAAATATTAGCCCTCAGTCGCTCGCTATCCCGGTCTCCGGATTTTTCATCTTCATACTTTATTGTATTAATTAGAGCATTAAAGTACGCAGTAACGCAGATCCTTAAGATAATTTCGAAAATTAATTCACTTATTTTTATATTACGTCTAATTCTTTTCATATGTAACTTATCTCACCATAAATTTGGCATAATGAGCTGTCTCTTCGTTACGAACTCCTCAGACACCGTACCAAGAAACTTTACACATTGCGTCTAACAAACGAATGAGATATACGCTTTCTCGCTCATTATCTGATGAAACTCCTAAAGTCCTAACACGCCTCATTAACGTCCCACGTCTCATGTTATCCCGATAACGAGACGATTTGCTTGCTAAACAAAACAACAATACATTTAACAGAATACAGTCATTATATTAAACAAAATACAAAGCATAAAATTCTTATACTAAAACAAAACAAGATATAGATTAATTAATGGCTGTGTTTCGGTTTGAAGGGTGGGATATGGCGTGAATTTACAGGGTACAGAGGATTAACACCTGAGTCCTCAGGAATGGTCAACGCATGGGGGGTATCATGGGCGAAACTGTATACTCTGTTATGTCCATGGTACTGCTCATGTCTATAGGCGACGGTTACCACTTTCCATCAGGTAGGCCGTCATTCTGTTTGCCATTCTAAGATGTATAAAAAAAAACTTTAATAAGCACTTAATTTATCAAACACGTAATTTCCTGGCTTAGATATATATTTCACAAACTAATATTAATTAGCTCCTGCCTTTTTTAATACAGTTGACACAGTGGAAAATTTTTATAATAGTGGCACTATAACAACACACTAAACACCATGTTTAAATGCCTAACAGTATGACCCAGAAGGGGGGGGGGGGGTGTTAGTAATGTGGACCACCAGTACCATTGCTAGCAATATATGTTTTTCTTGTCAGGTCGACCTTCTGGAAGTCGAAACCGTGGAAACCACCGTGCTGAATTCCTGGTGTATTCATCACGATGAGCTAACTGATCTGCTTTTTTATCCCCACCTATTATTCCTCACTGAAGCCCCGTCAGTGTTGATAGCGCAGGTGGGGTTACCATTACATTATCATCCATTAAAAAAAAAGGTATGACCCTCGTGAGTTTTCCAAGAAGACTGCTAAAACCCTTAACAATAAAACTAATAGAAACGATCTCGAGTAAAAGATGGTATAGGCTGCAAACCGTCCCTGACAGTGCGCTATCGAGCTCTTAAAACGTCCCATAAGAAAAAGATTTCATAAGATGACTCGACAGAATCCGAGTGTATTGGCGTGTCGGCCATCACTTCGAAAGCCGAGAGCCAACTCGACGTTTCACCTCTGAGTACTTCTGGGATCCTAGTTTAATATTGTTAGATTGAGTTTGATAGATTAATTTTAGTGGAGTATTTTCTATGTGGCCCATAACTGAATGTAGTTTTCATGATTGTTTTCATAAAAATTTTTAAATCTGATGTATGTTTTATCCTGATACGCCATATAGAAATGGATATTGGGTTTCCTACTACCTAAATCCATGCATAGAAGATTACGTATATTCATTTAGTAAATTCTAGAAATGACGTCATCTGTAAATCTTCTTCAGTGGGAGTACGGAGCTAGACATCACATGATGAGTTTATAAAATTTCCGATAAACACACATACACCCACACATAGACCGCCCCCCTCCGTCACCCACACACACACACACACACACACACACACATACGCATACATATCTTACGTCTTGAATATTTGTTTTATGTCAAAGTCGATTTTATAAAAGCCTAGAATTTATAAATTATATAATCTTTATAAAAGAAATTATAAATATTTTGAATGAAAAATTGAAAGAATCAAGTTTCTACAGTAAGTTAATAAATTCTAGAGAAAATAAATATATACATATAATGAGGTAACATAGTTCCCTAACAAATTCATTCATCATTCCAACTTTTCATTGTCTACTGTTGAACAGAGGCCTCCTCCATTGACTGCCACGAACAGCACGAACAAGCAACGACCTTCAGATTGCATTTACAATTGTTTTTTGACTTCCCCTTTATGATAAATGTTTCAAGACAACAGCAAACGGACAAATAAAGTAACAATCAAAATAATGAAACCGAAGAACTTATATCTTTCAATTGTTAATTAAAAAAATAGGAAATTGAAGTTGGTATAACATGTTGTTGACAAATCGTCATAGTCGTAGAATACTGACGGATCTGACAAACATTACGTATAAAGATCCGTCAGTATTCTACGACTATGACGAAATGACAAGAAAAGTGATTGGAATACATATGTTCTCTCATATAACGGCACGGTTTATTAATTTTATACCTTTTTATTATTATAATTTAATTTACCAGAGGGAGACTTTGTTCAAATGTCGATTGCTTGGGTACCTCTGTCCCATTCGTGTTTCAACCGTAAAGCAGTAATCTCATATTCGTGTATAATATAGTATATTTTGAATATGTGTAAGTATATTTTTTATTTATATACGAGTATATATTTATTTATTTATATATGTAATTTTAGTATGTATGTATATCAATAATTACTAGTACCGCATTCGAGTATTCTGACACTTCCCTATGGTTGACTGGTAGAGAATGCTTTTAGCATTAAGTCCGCCATGTACAACATATATGTACTAATGAATAAATAAAAGCAAATAAATAAAGTATAATTGTATTTAAATAGTTCTTACGATAAAACAAACATTTATACATTTTTTTCAATATTTTACACTGAACGGAAGTTGGTCAGATTACCTGAAAGAGTTTCTTCAATTAAGGATTGCATAAAAATTTCGAAAATTTATTAAAAAAAAGGAAGAAAACTATTTTAATGCGTATATTATTAATGTTGCCAAATAGATTTGTATTCGAATGAAATACCTTCTGATCGATTCTCGGCTACTTGTTATTATTTGACAAGTTGGCCCAAACTTTCTGACATAAATTCAGCGTTAATTTCTCTAATATTAACCAAAGCGGCCACCTCGAGTAATTAAGCGAGAGTTATTGTCGGCTTCTTTTCGAATTACCCAGTCGAGGGTTCTTCATGCTAATAGATTCATTTTTAACTAGTAAAATTGAGTTATACACTTTGCAAGATTAATTGGTTACTGAGTGAAAATAAACCTTTCGTTGTTATGTTTAACAAGCGATAAATATTATTTTGCATTATAATTCGTTTATTCTTGACTTCGAATTAAAGTTTTTGGAGTAAACAATTTTTTTTTCCTACCATAATAATAATAAATGCCAAGTAACGATTGACTGGTGAATAGATGGATGGATGGTCCGTTACTCTTTCACGCAAAAATTACTGAATAGATTGGAATAAAAATCTTATATCCTAATTTATTTATGTACTAATTCACGCGGGTGAAGCCACGGCATACAGTTAGTATTAAATATACGAGTATTCAAAAAATTTTTTGTGTTGGAATACTAAATAAAACAAACAACACGTACATACACACAAACAATATAATATTTTTGAATACCACCTTATTTTGAAGTCGGTTAATAAAATAATGGAAAGGTATAATAAGTCCGTGTATTGTTAAAAGTCACTTTTAATTCCTAATAAAGTCTGGTAATATGAGAAATAAATAAATCATTATAAATAAATATTTATTAGGAAAATTTTCGTTAGTAGGTAGATGTATGTGAAACTTGTTTTTTAATTAACATTTTAATTTACTATTATCTCATTTATATTTTTATTATATATCTTATAACGTTAAAAGTGTTTGAGTGGAGGGATTGTTAGTAAAGGGGAGGTTAGTCCCCATTGCTATTAATATACCACGTCAGATCGACCCCTACGCTGTTCCCCCTGGAAACCATCGTGACTAATTTATCGTTGAATTCGTTACTACGGGATAACTGACCTGCCTTTTCACCCTCACCTATTATCCCTCACTGGTGCCCCGCCAGTGTATACCGATAGCGCAGGCGGAGTTACCATACGATTATCATGCATTAAAAAAAAGATAAGAGTATTTAATACATAGAGATTTAGAAAACGTTTAAATTGTTGAATCGCTTAAAAAAAATAACAGATTAATACTATACGTCGTTATATAAGTTAAGAAAGCTCTTAATGTCAATCTTGCCACCCCATTACTCACAAGTACGGTGGCCGGGAATCGGGCGAAAGATGGTGACTCAGCAGAATCAAAAGATTTCCAGAAAGGTGTACATATAACATACACAGTTGGAATAGTCGCTAGTCTCAAATGTTATTCGCAAATAGTTACGTCCATAAATACACTCTGGAAAACAACATTAATTTCACTTAATTAAACAATAATTACTATGGATGCTTTGGATTCACAACCAACGGAAACACAACAAAAACATAGAGTTCAAAAGCTATTTTCCTTGCATCAATCAACCATGTTCACGATAATTATTCTTTCCATGAATTCTCTAACCGAGTATGTATGACACGACTGTATTTTTTTTAATTACATTTCAATTTATTCATGTGAAAGAGTTAATTTGGTTTCCTTTACTACCAGAGCAGCATGAGTGTTTAAGAAGTAAGCGATAAAAGTTATAGCGTCGGGCGGTACCTGACTACCTGCAGACAAGATTGAACGCTTCAAATTACAGCCACAAGGCCACGCCCCATGTTCCTCACAAAAAAAGAGACCGTGGGCCGTACAATCTATGGCCACAACAGTGGCCAGGTTCATACGTAATATAGATGACTTTTTAAAATGTCAAAAACATATATTTCTATCTAAACACTTGCTAATGTTATTTTTTTGTATTATTCTAATCAGAGAAAGAGTTAACTTGCTCCACTTAGTTACCAATACAGCATAAATGACGAAGATGTCGAAAAGCAAGATCTTAAGAAAAAAAAGGGAACACTTCAACAAAAACTATTCAGCCCTTAGGCCTGTTACGTACAGCATCGTGCCGTCCTCTTTTAACAAAATGGAATAAAAGAAACAGATAACTTGCATCACAGTTTTATACCAATAAGAGTCGTATTTCTACTACCATATTTTGACGTGTATTTTTATTGAAATAGGTACGATGAAGAATCTGTTTACACTATCAATCGATATTGATCGCAAATAATTGCAATAATCGATTCAGAATCGGCAATGTAATCGCGTAACATAACCACAATTTTTTTATGCAACTTAGAATGGCAAACAAGCTGACGGCCCACCTGATGGAAAGTGGTAACCGTCGCCTATAGACATGAGCAGTATCATGGACATAACAGAGTATACTTTTTCGCTCATGATACCCCCCATGCGTTGCCATTTCTGAAAACTAATTATGCCTTCAAACTGAAACACATCCATTTTGGAACCTTCTTATTTTTAATTTTTATTATATTACATATATACATAGAATAATAAACCAAAAAAGGTAAATTTTCTATTTATCTACTATAATAGACACGTATCAAAATTCTATAAAAATTCATCGAGCGTATGGAACCATATCTAGGTATGTTACAAGCATGCAATAAAATTGTTGGTTTACTATGAAATTTAATAATTGTTAATTTAGCACTGCACGTACTAGGTCAATGTATCGCCTCACCAGTTTGTATTCATTTCCTATATTTAAATTTAGCATATAAGATCATTTTTATTTCTTAATTTTGTCAGTTATAACCGAGCCATTGGAAATATACATTTCAACGAACCTCGTCGTCTCAATACAACCTGCAACAGAGCGCTTCCACGTCTTATGTACCATTTTTCACTAGACCTTCATTTCGTTTGATATTTATGCGTATTGAAAGATAAAATAATTTAGTATTATAATAGCCTGCTAAAGATATTAGAAGCGGCTTAGAAATATATTTATTATAACTTTGTATGTTGGCACACTAGATTTATAACATTGTTTTGGCTTTTGCTGTTACAATGTTGTAATTATTTTTCAATGAATAAATAAAATAAAAAATAATAACTCAATGCTCGTAGTATGTACTTGTACTTATAAATAAAAAGAGATACGCACCTGTAAGCTCGGCGGACAGTGGTCGAGCAGCTCGAGCATGTGTTGAATGTTTTGCGCGTCCTGTATCACAAAGTTCAACTCCATGTCGAACTCGCCGCCGACCAACTGGAAATAAAGAAAAAATCCACGTTAATCATTTGTTGTCTGTTTACATAATGATCTTCTTGATACATAAAAATCCCGTGTCAATATGTTCTGTTACGAAACCGCAAAACCAATTTTATTGAAATTTTTTTAAATTATTTGCTCCAACTCGAGAAATATGGTAGTTTTTATCAGGATAAGAAGTAATGGAGTTGGTAGTGTCAGGAGCAAAATGTTTGCTGGCATACTTAGTATTTAATAAATAGATGCAGCATTGATGACCTAAATGCATGGTTTACATGCATATCCCTTTCAGACCTGAACGATACGGGCGTGAGTTTTAACTTTAAAAAATTCTAAAACCGCGCGCAATTCATTTTTACGCACGAAGCTGAAATAACATGATAGTGAGATTCTAAACCAGCCAATAAGAAATCATTTTAGCGGTTAGGTGGTGCAGTTGTCTCGTGCGTGCCGGCAAGATGGCTTGCCTCCAAAACACAAAATATATTTAATCTGAAAGAAAAAAATTTTGGGTCTGAAAGGGATATACCATATTTGCTCGATGTATTTTATTTTTTTTTATTTATTATGGCATGATGTTTATACGTCTCTTCAGGTCATAGGCTATGGTAAACCCGTTTACCATCAGACGGGACGTATAATTGTTTGCCACTAAACTAGTATAAAAAAAAAACAATAATTCTTGATTCTTTATCGTTTTTCACTGCAATATTTCTATTAACATATAATAAAATCGTAACAAAGTAAAAACAAGGATAGGGAAAATGGGGTCCCCGTAAACTATGGGAATGTATCCTATGTATACATAGTATACGTAAACGAAGTTGTGGTCACAGTTATTTGTTATATTATTATTTGTATATACAGGTATGCTGGTCATACAAATTCTTCGTATGTACGCGGAAAAATAAATCAACTCTATTTATATAGTCACATCGGTAATTTTGTCGGTCGTTTTATATAGATCCTTCCACCTACGGTATTCGATTTTCCACGAGCTATTCATCGCATCCTTTCTTCGGTCTACGCTTCATAATAATCCACAAATGTTCCTCTTTTTATCTATGGTCTGTTAGTAAAAATGTAAAATAACCACAAGAAAAATTACATAAAAAAATATTGTCTTAAAAAATTGGGTAATTATTTTTAAAAGAAAAAATAAAAGACATTTCAGACCCGAGGAGTCTATATAACAATAACATTTTCGAGTGCTATTCATAGAGATTGTATCTCTAATTAATTATATCATCACCATCTTCCTTATCCCAATTATTATTTGGGGTCCGCGTAGTATGTTTTTCTCTTCCATTCTTCTCTGTCCGCAGTCATTTCCGCATTCACTCTCAATCTGGCCATATTATGGTTCACACTGTCCATCCATGTCTTTTTAGGTCTTTCTCTGCTCTTGTAGCCATTCGCGTTCATCCTTAATACCTTTTTTAAGATTGAATAATTATATATTAATATCAAATGGTCAAATTATACGGTTGAGAAAATTAATTTGTTTTGACAAGTTTATTATTCCCATGAAAAATAACCAACTTTGTCATTTTAACATCTGGTGAATTGAGCGATCACAACGCAGAATTCAACCGGCCAAATGCGTATTCTGCGAAACAAAATGGATTTATGTTATCTATGTGACAATAAATAAATAAATATATAAACATCCACAATCATCTGCGTTCCGTGTGCCTATATTATTTTTTCGATTTGGAAGTTCTTTTGGATGGACGAACGCAGTCAGCAATCGACGGACGCGCCGGACGCGGGCATAGATACCTAGATACATTCGTATCGAATCCAGTGAAGTTTGTTTTTTTTTGGACGGACGCAATCGGTTGTCAACATACCCGCGTGCATCCGTTTTGATGCGCTCTGACGCGCGCAATTTCATATAAATCCTCCTAGAATTAAATAACAAATCAGCTGCATTTAACTATGCAAAACAATTCCAACAGAAAACACTCGTTTCCGAGTGTGACGGATGAGCCAGTTGTTACTGCGATCAAGCACATTTTAGGAAATGTAACAACTCGACCCATTAAATCTTATGCTAAGCTCTACAACAATAATATGGCCATAAATAAAATGAACTTCTCTTAAACATCCAAGTAAAATATATTTGCAATTTATTTAGAGCATTCCTTTTGTTAAGCTTAGTGACAAGAGAGTTCACGCCCAAATAAGATTACGAGGTAGGTATTTGTACGTGTCTTTTGGTTTCAGCGAACTTTTTTGCAGATAGAGCGTTTTGTGTCCGAGTGAAATATTGGCTGTATCTTGAAAAGCCGTCGGGGACAATGGGGTGTTGTCCCCATCGTGTTCGACGGACATTCAATTTGCGCGATCGGTCAATCTCTGTATAGCTCCTGTGCGCCTAGTACTCGGGTCTTTTGTGTTCCTTAACAATGATGTCAGCAAATAACATGAAAAATAGCTAACCTTAATACGAAGCTTTTTCTACCCTATATATTCATTCACAGCTCAGGGTATAAATAAAATCATAAGGATGGTTAGTAAAAAGTTTTTTATTGTAACCATTGTTCTACCTGCAGTTACTTTTTTTATATTATATGTAAAATAAATTACTTACATTAATTTATGAAAGATATTTTTTATTTATATATCTCACTGTAGATAACAGTTATTGGCCGTTGTATTCTCACCCCACATGAATAAGTTTTCAACCCCTATATTGTGATTATACTAGGCAATGATAAAAATCAAAGAGTAATATTACCACCATGTTCTTTCTGAGGTTGAATTACACAAAACAATTTATAAAAAAAATATACATACATATACTCGTATGTCAAATCTGTCTTCCAAAAAATTTAACAAACTAAAGTGAACGAGTCACGTGTTATTTATAATGCTCGTTACTAGGAAAGCAGGACCGTACAGGAGCATTCCCCCTAAATTCTCTTTTGTAACAGGGGTTACAAAAGCGTATTCAGGGTTAAATTGCTTGCGTGCTTACATTCCACAATAACATTCATTAAGATTCCTACATGATTTTATTTTTTATTTTTATGTGCTTTTATCTTCTTCAGGCGTATCGGCCCTATCGTACGATGAACTGATTTCTCAGATAAGATTTTATCTACTTTGATGAGATTTTGTTACTCAATCACGCTTAAACAGCTGAATGGAATTTCATTAGATTTGGTACACGAGTAGGTGCAGGCCGAAGCCTTAGGAAACAGTTATTAAATACATATTTTTTTATACCAATAAAAATAGCTGTATACTCATAGGTATACTATATAAAATTTTACTGGGGCTTTAAGTTTGTCGAACTCAAAAAAAAAATTATCAGGCAAAAATCTTTATTTTATAAGATACCGTATAACGTAAAACATAAAGAAAAACACATGAAATGACAATATTCTCATTTTTTAAGTTTAAAAATGTAATAAACCTTGTTACTAGGCGATGTTTATACATGGGAGATATTTAAGAAAAGTTGTTCTTAATAGTAGCATTAGAAATCAAAATAATAATTTATTGAAATTTTGTACGTGTGTTAGTTTTGTTTATTTATCAAGCAAAAATTAATGCACCAATTTGTATAGCTTCCACAGTTGTGTTCTGGAAGATTTTACTTAAAATATGTTTGATCTTTATACGAGGAAAGGACTAATTAATAGGATTTTCTATTTAAGAAATCCACGCATACAAGACAGTGGACAAAAAACTAATATAATTATATTATATAATTAATACAATAAAATGAGCGTTAGCAATGTTACTAAAAAGATAGATAGATAGATAGATACTCTTTATTGTTTCCTCCAAAAGATTACAATAGTAAACTTATTATAAATATAAATAATTACAAGAAATAATCACAATGAGAAAACAATGGGCGACCTTATCGCTAAGAGCGATCTCTTCCAGGCAACCTTTGGATGGAGAGGAGTAATTATAAACAGTTTGGTGGGAGGCACGATGAAAAATTTTGTTAGTTCTAAATATGGGAAATGTGATACATATAATAATATAAATATTATCCCTACTCATTATTATATTTATATACATACATATACATATATATATATATATATACATACACACATATACACATATACATATATACACATATATACATACCATACACATACAAATACATATACATACATGGACATAAACGCCTACACAAATACATAAAAATATATAAATACTGTTCACGAAAAGTATGCAAGTAATAAGTATGCTAACCAGACATATAAACACATTAAGAAGATGACAACTTGCTCAAATAATAGTTCTTCAGTTTTGTTTTAAAACCAGCCGTACATTTTATATTTCGTAAGGAAACTGGTAAAGCATTCCAAAGCCGTACAGCTTGCACCGTAAATGATTTGTCATAAAAATTAGAGAAATGTACCGGAATCTTCAGCTGAAGGCCCCCAGAAGACCTAAGATTAAAAGAATTGACGGTATGCAAGAATTCAAACCGCTCCTTCAGATAGTGAGGGGAAGAAGAGTTGAAAAGGGCATTGTGATAATAAAGATAATAAAGTTAACCCAGCGAAATACTAAAATTACAACAGTATACCCCTTAACTGCTACACTTAACCCAAAAGTACTGATGTTAAAAATTATGACGTTAATAAAAAGGTGTCTCAAACTAACTGCCGTAGTTAGGTGCCGGCGCTCGCCGTAGACTGTTACACATAACGGTAGGTACTTATTATTGGAGGTAAAGTAACCCGGCCGAAGGGCGAGCCGGTAATTTGATTGCCCACCGTGTCGGTTACTATTGCTCCTATATCCTACAAGTATATATATTTAGGATCCGTTAGTTCTATTAATATAATAAATGTGAACGTGGCACGGATGGATGGACATTTTTCAACCAAAAATTACTGAACAGATTTCAATGAAATTTTGTACAAGCGTACGTTATATCCGAATTGAGAATAAAAGATACTTTATGTATGTGACAATTCACGCGAGCGGAGCTACAAGATAAAGCTAGTCTAATAATA